TGGATTGTCGGCACGTTATCAGCTTGAAAATACACCAACAGTGGAAGATCAACAGCCAATATTACCATCAAAAGAAAAATTTTATGTATGTGATATCACTGATGAAAATCAACTTTCACGTATTATCCAAGAAAATCAAATTAATATTATTATTCATCTAGCAGGACTTTTAGAAACAGATACAGTGGAAAAAATTAATCATATTAATTGTTATGGTACAAAGATTCTATTTGATACAGCAACAAAGCAAGAGCATGTTGAAATGATTATTTATGCTAGTTCGGGCACGACTGTTTTCGGCTATTTAGAAATTGAACCTTATTCATCATTAGCAAAAAATATTCAACCAAAACAATTATTGAAAAAGATAACAGTCAATGATCCTCCGATACCACCACATTTCGATCCATCATTTGAAGCATATTCTAAGAGTAAAATATATGGTGAAGAATTGGCTAGACAATACTCATCAATTGAAACTGTAAATGTTAAATTTATTTGTGCCAGATTCGGTTGGATAAGTACAACCGATGATATAACATCTGATTTGTATGGTTGGTCAGATAAATCATTATGGTGTAGTCATCGTGATTTATGTCAATTTATTGATCGAGTATTAGGAAAACAATCGATATTGAAAAAGTTTGCAATTTATTTCGTTTGTTCAAATAATGATTATTGTTGGGTTGATATGGATAATTGTCGACAAGATTTAAATTATGAGCCACAAGATGGTGCTAAATGGAAGACGACATAAATGAAAATGTGCCTGTCTATGCAACTTTTTGTTCGCTGTACTTTCTAGAATAGGACCTTTTAGTGATAAAAACTCATTTTCTGAAACTCTTCAAGTGTTTGTCTTCAAGAAAAAAAGATGTTGAGAGACTAATCAAAGTCTAGAGTTGCTAACGGTAAACTTTTATGTCAATTTTTGATAGATATAATCTGTAACTATACAGTGATTCCACAACAGCACTATATTTTCACCGTAATGACAGTACTCAAATTTTCTCATCTGCGTTATTCCTCTACACCTGAGCTAATATGAATTATACAATTTATTTCAAGAATGAATTCATAAATGAAGTCTGGATGGTATAAATTTGACAACTATTTCTTGAACCATTAACATCTCGATCATGTTACATCAGGGTGTGGGTGTGGGTGTAGGTGTGTGTGGGTGTTACTATTATCATTCACACCCACACTCACACCCACACCCTCAAGACAGTTATAAGGAGAAATTTTGAATTTTTTCGATTATGGATCTTTTTTTATTCAATAAAATTTCACATGTAAAGATTATTGTTTTATCTTATTCTAAAAGTAGGTTATAAAAAGTAGTCAATTCTAGAATGAACATGTTCATGATTGATTCGAAATCGTTTTCTTTCCAACAACCAATAGGTAATTTAATAATTGTAGTCTCATTCATTTTGATATGAACAGATATTTGCAGTTGAGTTTCCTTGTTCATTCGAACAATTTCAAATTTGATCGGTAGTTCTTGTTTTTCAATCGTTAGTCGATCGTAGTTTTTAATAGTTTGATTCGTTCCTGACCATTGATTATTTTCACCATCGGACCAATAAATGGTACCAAAACGAGAATAATAATTGACAAATTCATCTTTCATTTTTTGAATTAATGATACTAAACAAATGAAAGGACTCATGGACACCATAGCTGAAGATGAAGATTCAAAGGTCTGTTCTTGATTTTTTCTCATTGTTATTAATTCGATGATAAATCGAATTTGATATTCCAGTTCCTCAATAGACCATTGATCTTTCGCTTGTGCAAAACCACGATCAAATATCAACGTCAGATGTTGTCGTAATGCTTTTAATTTTTCTGGAGAGTCATCTAGAATGTAATCAATAAGACATATGAAGAATAGTGGGATATGGTTTTTTTACCGGCTACTTCTTTTAATGCATCTTCAATCACTCGATTATTCTCAGGAATTTGATGCGGTGCTTTTCCATCGAGATCTCGTGATACTTTCGGTTCAGATAATGTAATCATCCAGAAGAGAATCGCACAGATGAAACTTGCATCAATATTTTTACTCTGTCGATCGGATGGAATTAGTTGATTTTCCTCGTCAATATCATTATTATTCAATGGTTCAACTTGAAATTGAGGAATTTGATAGAAATCATTTTTGATTGGATTATCAACGGAATAAAAACGATGTTCATTCGTTTTATTGATATCCTTTTGATCAATATGCGCGAGATCAAAATCGATTAATTTCAAATGAAACTGATTGACATCGATTGAAGTGAAATTATCAATAAAAATTTTATTTGGTGTTAAATTTCGATGAACAACACCACGTTGATGGATCTGTTTGATCAAATCAATTAATTTCAAAATGATAATCATACTGTCTTGAAAATCAGGATCGTTATCAAAAACAAATGAATCAAGGCTCATATCGCTGATGGGTTCTGTGATCATCCATAGTGGAGTCGAGCAATTCGGACTATTTTTCAATGTTTCATAATCACAATCGATCAGTTTTGGTATTCCGTCCAGTTCTAAAATGATCAGGAAATGATTTGATTCAAAACTGGATAGATAAGCTTACCTTTCAATCGTTCAAGAGCTAGTCGATGTCGTTGGAGACGTAATCGAGATGTTCTATTCGACGTTTCTGTAGAATAGATTCTAATATCCGCTGTTTTGTTCGAATCTGTTTGATCAACAATTGAATAAACTTCACTCGTTTCATTTGCTTTTTCCTCTAACAACTCGGTATTTTCCCAACACCATGGAGAGGGTAGTTTGAACAGATCGAATTCTTGTTCTGATTTCGAATCAGAATGTTGATCATCATCATTGATAGCTTTCCAATGCGTATAGCACTTTCGTAAATCCGGTATTGCTTGAGATTGACGCATTTGCATACTATTCGTACTCGAGCGTATTGACGGTGTTCGATTTTGCGTTTGTGGAATTAATGACAGAGGAATTCCGATGGTTGAATTGAAATACTCCACATTCACTTCTAATTGACATTTCATACTGTATTTTTGTTCGGAAGAAAACATTTGATTATGCCAGCAATGGATGAGTTGTCTGGCGATCAGTTCTGATTTTCGATCAATTATATAGGCAATGATTGGTTGGCTTGAATTCGGTTCTTCATTACACAGAATTAGATCACGTCCAATGCTAGTAAATCTCACTTTCAAACGTCGGAATATATCCGATCGAGTGACATTCGGAGGAAAATTACTCACTCGAATACGATAACCATCTTCCTCTACAAAAACAGATCACCGAGTTAATCTAGAGAAATTACTCAAAGAAATATTTTTCTCTTACTTGAAGTAGGTCGGCGTGCTGGTCTTGTTCTTCGTGCTTTATCATGTCCGTACCAACAGTGCGTATTTTTGCATGTGATTGGTTCAACACATCGGATATGTTTCTGATCACAACCAATGGAAAATGGACATTTTCCTGTTTGAAAACGTCCGCATAAATCAAATGGATTGACTGGTGCACGTGTTGCTTGACATTGAATTTGAAAGCCACGCAAATCGAAACCAGTTTTTTCTTTCGCTAGTCTTATTGCTAATTGTTCAGTAGGAATTTCTTTAATCCAAGCTTCAACTTGTCTACGATCACTTTCCACAAGATGATCATCCAATTCATTGTGTGGTCGAACGAGAATATTAGCAATATTCACTTTAAAAATTGATGATAAATCTTCACTAGTTACATCTGTTGGCATATTGGTAACATGAATACAATATTCCGGAATGTCAGAAGTAGGAATGGTAACTAAATGAAAAAGCAAAATATATTCAATAATCTATCAAATCGTTTCACTTGCTTCTGCCATTTGGTAATCGGACTTTTTCAACCAACAGAGGGCGACCTTTACATCGATGCCAATTTTTTTCCAGGACAATGCGATCGACTGCATCATAGCTAAAATGGAAATGAGTATTAAATTATTGAATTTGCAATGAATACAATGGTTCTTACTCGTTAAATATGAAGTATGCTTTATTTCCGACGTATTCACAATAGTTTACTTGCCCATAATATCGGAAATAATTTTCTAAATCGATTTTTTCATTCTCAGTCAAGTTTCCATTCGATGAAGAGATTTCCACTTTGAGACCATAAGTTATTTGATGGCATAAATAGCAATTTCGTGGAATTTGTCGGGATATAGATACGTCTTTATTATGAAGACGAATTGGTCGTTTTGCCATGAGTTCATTGACCAATCCTTCATCTGGAAGTCTCACTGTAGCACATTGAGATTGTCTATCATGAATGACTAAAAAAGATTTCAAAATAATGTCATGAATGGAATTTATTTTTCTCATGAGATATTTCAATATTGAAAAAAATAATGTTTAGTACTCACATCCTATTTCATCGAATTGGACATCAAATTTGATCTTGTTAGTTCCAAGTGTCCCAGCAATAATTTTTTTCACATCACTTTCTTTAATTGTTAGATCGAGATCATGAATAATTAACCTGCGTTTGCAACATTCCAAATCTCTCTGTACGATAACTTTTAAATCCTAAAATTATTTAATTAAAATTGATGTTATATTGAATAGAAAATGCAGACATACTCGAGGCATATGTATGAGTTTGTATGAAGTAATCAGCGAGAAGACATTTGAAAAGAACTGTATTTATATGTGCTCTGTAGTTTTTTTCCAATGCCAATCGATAGATGCACTCATAGCAGTCGATATTATTATGTTATTGCTTTCGTGGGTTGGATGAATTTTTCCCCACTCGACATTTAAAACCATTGCTTACATGATGGAACGAAACGCGACAATGTTATTTGTTTTTGCATGATGACGTTTTGCGTTGGAAGTGTCCAATGACGTGACTGTTCGTTTTCGTTTCGGGTAAGATGATAGCTTTCTATTGACACAGAATGAAAAAAGAAAAGAAGCCATTTTTTAAGTGCAAAACAACGTATGACATAAAGTAAGAATATTAATGTTCGAATTGAAAAGTAGCAGATAGAATCTCTTCAGGGGTGTGGGTGTGGATGTGGATGTGGATGTGGCACAGTGGGCAACAAGGCGAACATGACCTCAAGTTCTATTTTCCAAAGCTTAAATATTGGAATGAATACGTCCATGGTTAGTCTATCTTACCCTAAACTCAGTCTTTCAGAATTCAAGTTGAACCCTGCGAAAGGCCGTCGTCAAAAAATTTGTTCATAAATCGCTAATTGTACGGAGATCATTTTTGTTATCAACTTATCAATATATATTTGAAAAATGAAAAACTATCTGAAACAAATGATGAGGCCATAAGCTTCATGGAGTGAAAAACTTATTTCGATCCAAACAGAGTAGAAAAAAAAGTGATCGCTGCGCTGAAAGTAGGAAAAAAAACTGTCATACCGTATTTTGTGCGCCCCCAAAACAGTTCTCATCCGATTGAGCTGAAACTATCGCCAATTATTCTCCTATGTATGATTTATCGTTCGCCTAAGCGCCATGTCACATCAATGAACAGAAACGGAACTGGAGGTTTTCTAGATAACCAGGTTTCTGCCCAAGAATCGTTAGTTTTGCGAATACAGAAACATTTTAGTGAAAAACCAAGATGATATTCGGAATCAGCTCGTCAAGCTGCATCGAATCATATATAACAGAAAGTGCCTATTGAAGAAAATAAGTCGCTTCCTGTGCCGAGAAGGTTCTGAAATCCAGCCTTTTCGTATTTTTAACTCTCCCTAAACAATTTTCATCCGATTGAGCTGAAACTTTCACCAATTATTCTCCTATATGTGATTCATCATTGACGTTAGCACCATTTCACATCGATGAGCACAACCACGCCAATGCTATAAAACTCCCCCAAAACCCAAGGTTTTTGCCACATTTTTCTATTTTTTTTTTCAACAGAGCATCATTTTGATGAAGGGTGTGGGTGTGGGTGTGGGTATGGATGTCTAGCAGATACATATCCACACCCATCCACACCCATCCACACCCACACCCCCACACCCTCACCCACATCCACACCCATATCACTCAGTGAGTTAACGCTGTCTTCTGTATCAGTTTCTTCAAACTCAATGTAACTTATCGTAAAATTTCATTTGTTCTTATTTTATACACTCGAGAGAAAGAGTCAAAGATAATGTTATGAAAAGAATGCAAAAGAAAAAAACATCAAAACTTCATTTCGTTTATCTTGTTCCTACTGCGGAATACATAAGAAAGAGAAAGACAAACTTGAGTAATGATTCAGTTCGACCTGAAGGACCGCCTATGTAATGATACAAACAAGAAAAAGAACTATCAGCAAACACTGAAAAGGCGAACCAGTACATTTATCAGCACGTGAATGCACAAAAAATGGATTTGTTAAAGCTATTTACTAAGAGGTTGTGCGTGTGAGTGTGGGTGTGGGTGTTCACCTTTTCTTTACCCATACCCATACTCCACACCCACGCCCACACCCACCCACATCCCACACCCACCCACACCCACACCCACACCCCACACTCACACCACCCACACTCCACACCTACACCACCCACACCCACACCCACACCCATACCCACACCCACACCCACCCACACCCTGTTCATCGAGAAACGGTCGAAGTAGACAATGATCAACGATGTAGTTTTCGACTGGTTCAATATAATTCAATCGTTTCACATCTATGTATTTGGAACCAATCCTGTCGTATTGGAGTTGAGTATCGGTTATCTCTGAATGTGCCATGGATGTGTCTTTACAAGATTTACTCTGTAAGAAAATAGATAACAGGACTTTCTATTATAGACAAGAGGCAACGAATGATTTAAAAAAAACATTTATTTTGAAAGAAGCTTAAATGAGCTGAAAGACACTAACATGCATTTATAAGAATATTGAGATATCCATCATAATGTACAGTAGCGATATCCAAACGACCATCCTTATTAAAATCATTTACAGCGACGAACCTTGGAAAGTTCGACGTGGATATATGCATTGGCGCTTCGAAATCTCCGTTACCATAACCAAGATAAATACTCACACCTGAATCTCTGTTTTCAATAACGATATCTAAATAAGTGTCATGATTGAAATCACCAACGGCTACCGAATATGAACAAGCAATAGTTGAATAGCTCTTTTGTCTTTGAAAGTATCCATTACCATAACCAAATAATAAACTTATAGATAGACTTTCACAGCTAACTGTCACGATATCTACCCGTTTGTCGCCGTTGAAATCTCCTACAGCTAATCCAATTGGATTATGCATAGTCGGAAAAGAATTTGTTAATACAAAAGTTCCACTTTCCGTTGCCAAAAATACTGTCACACTATTGCTATAATAATTAGTAACAGCAACATCTGTCATGTTGTCCTCATTAAAGTCAGCAACGGCTATCGATGTCGGCTGATCGGCGGTTGTATATTCTTGTGAAGATAGAAAACTTATGTATGGACCAGTCAAAATCACTGTTACTTTATGAAGAAACTTGCAAGGGATGACAAAATCTCGACGACTATCATTATTGAAATCACCAACAGCTACAGATAATGGATAATCGTTAACATTTACAAACCATGAATTAGAACAAGTAGTAAATAAAATTTCTTTCTGAAAAGTGCCATTACCATTCCCAGGTGCTATGCCGACATTATTATTTTCATTGTGAACAATAATAAGATCAGTTTGGTTGTCACCATCCATATCATTAGCGGCGACAAAATAGGCGAGATCATCCATTAAATGAAATGTTTGTGATCTAAAAGTTCCATTGTTGTTGCCTAAAAATACACCAAGTTTGTTATCGTTCAAACTGGAGATAGTAAGATCCATATTATTGTCACCGTTAAAGTCACCAACAGCGATTGAGGAAGGATTTGCTAAAGTTTCGTAAACATTAGCTGGTGCGAATGTTAATACTTGACACTTTGGGTCTAAATTATCAAAGCAAAATCAGAAGATAAGATTGAATAAGTTATTTTGTTTTGACAGACGAAACTTTTCGATGTAGTCTTTATGACAAACAAATGATATTGACTCTATAAATATCATCATGTATTCGATCTTATATGATGTAATCCATCAATTATATATAGTTCTCACTGAGGACATCCTAACTGAAAATTGATTTCGCTTTTTAATCTTTTTATTCTTGCAAAAAGAAGTTCACACATTCTCTATCCAGAGGTGCAGAATCTTCCGTGGAACGGTCGAGTTTGCGCCCCAGGGGAAATTTATTCGCAAATTTTCCCCTTTTGAAAAGTAGCAAATCAAGAGGCTCACGCAGTAATACTCCAAAAATTTCCCCTAAAATGAAAAATTTCCCCAAAAAAAGACCCCCCCCCCCCGCGCGGAGGGCATGAGGAAGATTCTGCACCTTTATCTCTATCACAAATCTTACAACCCAGACAACAAACCTCTTTTTTTCTTGGACATAGCAAAATTATTTGTAACAGAAGTTTTAATATTTTTGACGTCTTTACCTGAAAAATGTTGGAGTTCATTAATTTCTTTCCTCAACGTTATATTTTATGGTTCATCGATTATTCCTATGAAGTGAACATCCAAAATATTAGCTGAGCACTCGATATTTGTACCACATTTATGTTAATGAACTGTTGAGTGACATGATTGACACGCTTTCAATTGTCCTTCATTAGAGGTGCTTCTGTTCATAAAGTTTTTCTAAAAGAATATCGCTCTTTTCATCGTATACATCTGGCAGCAAAAAATAGATGGTTT